CTATCTTTATCAGTTTCTAATCTCTTAATGTAATCCCTTATACATAAGTGTTTTTATAGCACTTTTTCCAGCTCAAGTTTTCATATTTGTTTGTTTACTTGTTTCATCTTGGCTCTGCCCCACCTATCACATCCATATTCAGTATAGCTGCATGGGAGCAAAGACTTTATCTTATTTTCTACTGTATATCCCATGTCTAGCAGAGTAACTGACACAGCAGACGCTCAAAAAATATCTGATGAATGAAGGTATGAATTGATAGAGTAAAAAGGAAGGACAATTAGTGATGGAAATGAGTTAACTAAAAGTCAAGGTATTTGTTGCCAGGGAACTTTAGGTCTAATCACAGGAGAAAACCCACACCAATGCAAAAGAATATAAAGCATTACGGATTGAATGCATAATGTTCAAGTAAGGCAGAGCAAAGCAGGACAGTTTATTATGTATATTACATGGAGCCATCTGTCTTCCTCCTGTTTCTTTTGCATTTCTCCATACTGCCTCATATGGTCTCTGCACATAAATGTTGACTATGACTAATTGATTATTTTTAAAAATATGCAAGTATGAGTAGAAAGGAATATTGAAAGTAAAACTAAAGTCAAGGCTTGAATTACTCTGAATTACCTGTGATTTTATTTTTCCATGCTTGTTGACAAACATGTATGAATATGTATTGGCTTTTGTTTAGCTGCTGGACATATATCAGAGCAAATTTTTATGGCATAGTACAATATTTTCAAGATACTACTAGTTAAAAAATGTACTTAAAAATCTCAATTCCCATTGCTTTATTCTACTCTGCTGTATCTGTGATCCTTATAAATTTTGGGGAATTAAGTTATACACTTTCCTTGAGAATCAAGTTTGTTGTAACTTGCCGCTGTTTGTAGAGTATAAATGAATAACACACAATTTACTGAATTGATCGTTGATTCAGAAAATTGTTGCTCACAGACTTGGGCATAAAAACTTGAATAAGATAGAGTTCCAGCTCTCAAGAAGCTACCATGCATTCTTTTGTTCACCTAATGTTTTCAAACAGTTGAGAACTACAGATTCCAGGCACTGTCCCAGGCATTGGGTATGCAACTGTGAACAAGGCTGTCAACGTCCCTATAGTTAGAGAACTTAAGGTTCTGGGAAATAGAAATTGCATAGATGCTGACAGATGTGATTTTATATAAAGGAAGAGAATAGGACAGAATGGGAGCATATAATGAGGAAACCGACTTAGAGCCTTCAGGGAAGGCTGAGGAGCGGCATTGCGATTAGTCCCCAGTAGAAACTTAAGGGCAAAGGTGAGGGCAGGGGAGAAGGGCATGCAAACAAATCATCATAGTGCAGTGTAACCAGAGCTTTAGTAGAAGAAAGGAAGTGAGTACAGAATCTGCTGGTTGCACTGAAAAAGGAAAGATAAACAGTGTCGTTTGGCATCGGCACAGCCTTGCCCTAGAGGATTTGCTTGGGCCTCAGGAGTGTGGATTTGCCAGATGGATAAGGGGGTAGGATTCAGTGTGTGCAAGATCTGAAGGTTGTAACACTGTAGGAGAAAGTAAACAAGTGACATGACCCATCCTCATGAAAAGTGGACCAGTGGAGTGAACTGGTCTAGGGAGCCTGGCTGGAATTCTGTTTTTGTCCACGTGTTAGGCACCATGACATTCAGAAAGGTGATTAATACTTGGGAAGAGTGCAGGGCGGTGCCCTGGGCTGATCTGGCCCAAGAGCTGCCTGCAGCTAATTTGTGGCATGACAAAGTGCCGTGTGCCATGACCTGAGCCAGGACCAGCTATTCACCCTTGCCTGGTGGCCATGCTGGCTGAATAATGGGTACAATTATATAACAGAGGATGGGCTTCTGTTCTAGACAACACTGTACTTGGCCCTGGACTTGGAAACAGAAATAGAGCTAAAAGCTTTTCAAAATGTTTGAGAAATACCTAAACGAACAAATTGTGTTGTATAAATGTGGATGATGTTGGTGTTATGTAAGTGTAGTTTAGGTTTTTTTTTTTTTAAACATAAGAAATAAACAGGAACCATTACGTTTCCCTTCAAGAAAGATAGCTTAAAAAATTGGTTAATAATCTGCTCAGTACTAATAAAGTAGACAATCCTCAAGAGATGTGTTTTTCACAAATAACAAAATGCGTATCTAGTACTGACATCCATTTTTGTGAACAAATACCGAGTAGATTGGGAGGAGAGAAATTCATGAAAGCAACTGCAATTCTCTAAAACAGTTTTTTGTTGTTGTTGTTTTTTTTTGTAAGGATTTTATCTGCTTTAGAGAGAGTTGTTATTTTAAAGGACTGTGATTTTCTCCGTGGTGCCCTGTTTTGAGAACATGGATTTACTTGGCTGTTACATGCAGTTGCTTGCCTTCAGCAGCTCTCTAAGTAACAGCATTTTTCATACATGCAAAAAGGAGGCAAATGGGTTTGTGAAACGGTGTCGTGTTGTTTGATTAGCTGTATGAAAGCTGCCTTGTCATGAGAAGTCTTAATTGTAATAATTCTTTAGCAGAACTTAGCCATGTCTTTTAGGCAATGCTACTATTTAAGGCTTTGCTTATGCCCTAGCCAAACAGATGTGTTTATTTACACGTCTGATCTATACAGGGAGACAAAAGGGCTCTGCCCACAGCCTTGTACTTCCTCTAATACAGATAAAAGGGGAGGAGAGAGGCGAGCAGTTGGGGATCATGGAAATGAGAGTGGGAATGAAGAAAAGCCCTGTAGGTGTGAGTCAAACTGAGGCAGCCATGCTTTCCCTCAGGGCTGAAACAGCTGCGTGGGGGCTGTAAAGAACCAGAGGGAGAGCTAGCTGGTGGCATTGGTTTAGGGCGGGTGGTCTCCTCTCTCTTCCCTGAGAGGGAATAGATGTATAATTGTCCGCCTATGCAAAGATGCTACTGCTGGGGCACTTTGAATCCATGTCAGCTCAGGTGCAGCGAAACACAGATGTGTCACTGTTAAAGCTGTGGCTGCATGCAAAGGGATGCCAAGAGGCTGCTTCTCTTTAAATGTGGATGAAATGCTCTGAAGAGTTGGAAAAGCTTTGCAGGTAGAGGACCTGCAAATCTAGAGTAGATAGAATGGAAGAAGTCAGAGACTTTTAGGGAATAAGCTGAGAGTGTAGGACAGGAATCAGGGAAAGTTCCTTATCCCAGGTAGGAGCAGGCTGGGGACATGGGGATTGAACCACGTGTGGCAGCAGGAGAATGAAGGGTTCTATTTTTCCTTCACTAAAACACATTTCTCTCTTTCTCTCTCTTTCTTTCTTCCTTCCTTCCTTCCTTCCTTCCTTCCTTCCTTCCTTCTTTCCTTTCTTTTTTCTTTCTTTCTTTCCTTCCTTTCTTTCTTTCTTTTTTCTTTCAAGATTTTATTTATTTATTTGAGAAGGAGAGCATGAGCAGAGAGGAGAGGCAGAGGGAGAGAGAGAAGCAGGCCCCTTGCTGAGCAGGGAGGCAGACGCAGGGCTCAATCCCAGGGTCCTGGGATCATGACCTGAGCCAAAGGCAGATGCTTTAACGGACTGAGCCACCCAGGTGCCTTAAAACACTTATTTATTTATTTATTTATTAAAGATTTTATTTATTTATTTGACAGAGAGAGAGCACAAGCAGGGGGGAGTGGCAGGCAGAGGAAGAGGGAGAAGCAGGCTTCCTACAGAGCAGGGGGAGCCTGATGTGGGACTCGATCCCAGGACCCTGGGATCATGACCTGAGCCGAAGGCAGTCGCTTAACCAACTGAGCCACCCAGGTGCCCTAAAACACATTTTTTAAAAGTGTCCTGTGGGGTGTCTGGGTGGCTCTTGGTTGGTTGAGCTTCTGACTCTTGATCTTGACTTAAGTTTTGATCTCACAGTTGTGAGTTTGAGCCCCACATTGGGCTCCACACTGGGCGTGGAGCCTACTTCAAAAAAAGAAAAAAAAGTGTCCTGGATTGAGAGTTTCATCTTCTTTCACTTCTTAATCTCTTCCCTTTATGCTTAATAACATTATACAATAACAAAAACCTTAAGCAGAAAGCAAAATCCGACCAATCATAGTACCATAGATGGCTTTGGAATTTGTCCCCTGAATTGTAGAATTAGAATCAGCTGAGGTTTTGTTTTGTTTTGTTTTTAATTGGTTTGTTTACTTTCTAACATTAGGGCCAGGGTTTTCCTGCTTAATTCTAAATGTTTATGACTTATTACAGACAATAAGAAAGGAGGAGTACTCTGTACATTGGTGATGAGGCAGCGTCAAAAGCTGAAAGGTAAATATAACTTATGCTTTTCGTAACACACCTTGACAGGCCAAATACGTGTTTGCACATAGATTTGAATTGAATTGAATGTGTGCTCTGGAATTCTGAGGTTCCCTGAAAATTGTGTGTACATTTTCGATATACGTGTTAGTGCGTATGTGTTTTATTTGTGCCAGTGTTGAAAACTGAAACAGAGACTGATTTTACTTAATAAGAGGATCCTAAATACAGATTTTTGGGGGTTGGAGTGAAACTGCATATTCATAAAACTCTATTTCCATCAGTAACGAAAAAATATTGTCCTTATTTCCACTCTTCCTTACTTGGTCTTTGGAAAGGAAAGAGCTCCTGAATGAGTAGCAAGAGGTGACAGGGTTAGGCTCTGTTAGCCTTTATATTTTTCTGATGGCGAGGGGCCATGGTGCCTACTATTACAGTTCTCCCAAGTGTTTGCAGTAATATGAATCTGTTTACATGTTTAGTGGGAATAGTGTTTTCTTCGGAGGAAGTGTAGTTAAAATATGTATTGCCTTCAGTTCCACCATGTTTGTTTTTAGTGTAAAGGTCGTTCAAATATAGGAGGTGCTTTCTTGGTAAGCAAAGCGTACTAACACGTGAACCGTCTTGATCTTTAGCTCGCTGTTGTGTTTACTAGCTGTGGGTGCCAGAAGCTGCCACTGCTCTCTAGTGATGGTAGCACCAGCACCCTAATCCTGTCTCTTTCATGGTTATTTTTACAGCACCATCTTGTCCTTTAAGAAGTTATACCCACTGGTTCTAGGCATATGGAGAAGTTACCAGTCAATGCTCTAAATTGAAAAAGGGAAGGGATGGAAACAGTAGAAGAAAGAAGGTAATTTTCCTGTTTTGGGGACCTCTTGTACACTGCCCTGTGGTTATTTCAAATGTTTGCATTTGTGCAGAGAGTAAACTTGCCTTTCTCTACCGGAATGTAAAAACATGGTTAAGTAGAAGAGTAAACAGTGGGTTACACTAGGGTCTATTTTTATTTCTGAATTAAAACTGAATTGGTTTTACTGCATGTAAGAGCTCTTTTCATTTTATTTTTTAAATCAAGTATTTTGACTCTTCTAAGCACAAACTGGAGAGCTTGTAAAAGAGTAATGACCTGCTATACTTGCTCTAAACAAAATAGACTCTAGGAATAGTCATATATGAAGATGACACTGCCTGCCTCCATGTCTCTCCCCTCACCTTAGATGATCTGTTCAGTGGGAGTTCATTAGAAAGGTTTAGAGTTAGAATTTCCGAGGCTGTCTATGAACTTGTTGATTTGATGTACTGGAAATGATAATTTAGCTCTTCATCTCAGTTCTGAACTTTTCCTATTTAGCTCAGAAAGCTGGTTCCATTTCGTTTTCTTCCCCTACACAACTGAGAAAATAGATTTGGAAATTGCCTGAGTACTCTGGGCTATTTCAAAGATCAAGAAAGAGAATTTTATTTCCATTTCTCATGAGTGATAGATAACATTGGAAAGCAGGAAAATGATAATTGAATATGGACATAACTAAAATATTATATTCAGGACTGAGATTGGAATGTAGCTAAGGAGAAAAATCCTACAGATGCTTAAAATCTGTGAGACTTCTAAATTAGCTGAATCCCCAGTGAATCTTCATTATTGACTAGAGGAAATTATATGGTATTCTCTTTCTTTGCAAGGCTTGAAAATTTATTGAATTGATACTAAAAGCTTGCAGAAGGTTGGGAACCTTCTCAAAGGGAATTATGCTGCATGTTGCTCCTGAAATCTAAGTTTTTCCCAGGTGTGACAGAGTTTTAAATGAAACTAAGGAAAACAAAATGTTAACGTAGATCATCATAGTCTTGTTTAGAATTAGTGCATACTCACAGGGTTTAAGAATGGTGGTTGAATATAGAGGTCTCAGAATATGGCTTATCTGCCAAATGACAGATGGTCCAAAGTCAGAAGAGAAAGGCTCAAGAAGATGTAGTCGAGGGTAAGGCTGGTTCTGGAAAGAGCTGAGCAGCTGTTTAGTGGTTGTATTAACACTGATCATTAGTACAGCCTCTTTTTCATTCTGCTACATTCATTTGTTATTGTTTCTACTTTTGTGATGATTCAATGAGGCTCTTTATTAGAAAGGATGATATCTACATAAAGGTTCACTGAGTGAAAATATTCTGAAAGATTTAGGCTGAATTAAATAGTATTTTTAGATAGAGGGACACTAATGCTTTGTATCACACATTAGTTAAAAAAGTTTGAAAATTGATTTTTTTGTTCTTCAAAATACTGTTGAGACATGTCATTTTGTTTTGCTATTAGAATTCAATTAAAAGGGGCTCCATATCATTTTCAGATATATGTATTATGTGAATATTTTCTCCCAGTTAACTTGATTTATTTCGTGTGTTTTTTAAAGAGCAGAAATTTTAAATTTTGACAATATTTATCATTTTTTCCTTTTATGGTTCATATTTTTGTATTGAGATACTGACCTTAGTTAATTCTTCTACCATACATACTCAGTGATCCAAAACAGAAACTTGATCATCCTTGATGCATCTCTTCTCTTCATAATCGCTGTTGATTTTACCTTTTAAATATCTCCAGACCTTATCCACTTTCTCAATCCTCAGTTCTGTTCACCTAGTCTAGACAATCATCCTCTCTTGCCTGGATTGCTATAATATTGTTCTTAGGTGATCTTTCAAAATATTACCCTGACCACAATATTTGCTGCTTAAAACCCACCAGTGGTTCTCCAGTGTTTTTAGAATAAAGTATAAACTTTTAAATATGGGTCCTAATGATCTTGATCTAACTTATATTTCCAATTTCCTCCTTTCCCACTTTCTTTCTTCATCCCATCCCTACCTGCAATGTTCAACTCTTCAGCCATGATGAACTATTATCATTTCCTCAACAACTCTAAGATTTTTCTCAGTTGCATATCTATTTCCTACTAACTTTACATGAGTCTAAGTAGGCATTCTTTTTGTTGGAGCCATTTCCTCATGGCCAGGCTAGATTAAATAGCTCTGTCTGTGTTCTCCATTTAGTGGGGGCTGTAAATAGACAAGTGATGTATTTCAAGAAAGTGGGATTAGTCCTATGAAAAGGACCTCACAAAAAGGACACTTTCAGGTGGGAAGTATATTTCATGCTTCAAAATCATCCTTTATGATGTAGAACTTTGTAATTTACTCCTGGATACACGCCGTACACTGCACTCCATACACTAAAGTCGGAACAAGGATTATTAATGGTTTCAAACAGACCCAATCAAGGCCGGTGGGTAAAGTGAGCAGAGGCCCTTAGGGGGCAGCAGAGGACCACATACCAAGAAAGCTGTGGGGGGGGGGGAGCAAGTGTGTAAGAAAAGGGACCTCCTTGTGTCACTAGCCGTGAGGTTAAACTATTTGTCTTTCTATTCCTCAATAGTAAATAAGGATAAAAGCTAAAGGAGTTGAAGTGTAAAAACTCACAAATTCAAATGCCTACAAGGCTGTGACAGAAACGTACTTCTGGGAATGAGACCAGTGTAAGACAAAGCCTGATGAAAGGTCTCCTACCAACTTGAGGATACATACTTCACCTGGAAGCATGTAAATGCCTGCGAATGGATGAAACGAGTTTTGTTAACCAATCAGCTCGCAGCACATGTGCTGCAAATCTGTGACCCTAGAATGGCAGACTACACTGAGCCACATAGGGAACTCCATTTGAAGATGGGAAAAGAAGCAGGTTTCAGTAGGGAGAGCTAGAATCAGTACCTCTCCTGACTACAGCAGGGTTAGAATAAAGAGGAGATGGGGACTGAGCTGAGGTCATTGTATAGAGTAAGTTAGGATTGTGTTTGATGGTGTTATGAGGGAATGATTATTTGTTAGGCATCTACTATATGTATTTAGAAATGTGTACACAATATTGGAGTAGTAACAGTGTTGTTTATTGGGAACTTACATTGCATCAGGCACTTCTCTGGGTGTTTTACACATTTTACGCAGTTTAATTCTCAGAACAACATGATGTTTTAAGTATTACGTTTTTTTCCCATTCAACCAACAAGGAAATGGAGGTTTGGAAAGGTTAAGTCATTTGTTTGAAGTCAGGGCTGCCTGAGTCAGGGAGAAAAAGAAAGAGAGAGAGAATGGGTAGAGGGGCAAACGTACTTTTGCTGGGCCCTGTCTATCTAAACAATTTGAGACATCTCAAGTCACTTGGAAGCAATCCACTAGACAGGCTGCTCTACAACCAGGCTTTTCATGTGGCCCCTGAAGGAAATGTAGGAGTGGGAAAATTTTCCCTTCTTTCCTTCTAGGTTCTTTAGCCAGTCAGATTGACATAAGATAGATTAACAGGAGAAAAATTTTGTATGTATGGGAGTCCCATTAAAAATATGAGATTCCCGGGGCGCCGGGTGGCTCAGTCGTTAAGCATCTGCCTTCCGCTTGGGTTATGATCTCAGGGTCCTGGGATCGAACCCCACATTGGGCTCCCTGCTCAGCGGGGAGTCTGCTTCTCCCTCTCTCGCTCCCCCTGCTTGTGTTCCCTCTCTCGCTGTGTCTCTCTCTGTCAAATAAATAAAATCTTAAAAAAAAAAGAAATTCCCCAGAAGTCAGGTAAATGAGGCTTATACACCATCTTGAGCTAAGGAGACGAGGATAGGGTTCTGGGCTTCAAAGGTGAGGAAGACAATTCATAGGAAGAGGAGAAGAGCAAATGTTTGGTAAACAAGGTTTGCTGTGCCACACAGATAAGTTTTTCTGATATTAAAAAGTTATTTCTGGTACTAGCTCTCTTCTGGTTCAGGCCTCCTATCCAAATTCTTTTAGGCGGTTAAGGGGGGCAGTTACTATCTCTTCCTGAGTCTGTTGGACTCTGATTGCCTTCAGCTCAAAATAATCCACTTGCCAAAGTGGCACATTTTGGGGTGGCATATTCTGCTCCCCCCCCCTTAGAAATAATAGGCAGGAGTCCTGGAGCTCTTTGTGGCATTTGGCCAGTCCCACATGTGAGAGATGGGATGAAGGTGTAGGTGGATGATTGGAAATCTCCCTGAAGGGGAGAAACAGGCTGGAGGTGGGTGGTCTGGTGGTTGGAGCTTCCGGTAAATAGAACCCATGTGGAGGGTCTGGATATAGGGTACCCTTCCTGGAAGGCTCTAGTTCCAGCCACGCTATGAGAGCTTGGGCATTTTAAAGAACAGACCCTTGAAAAACACAAGTTTGAATTTCACAGGCCTTCTTAACATGCCGCTTTTTTTTTCAATAAATATAGTACAGCGCTGTAAATTATTTTCTCTTCCTTATGATTTTCTTAATATTTTCTTTCCTCTAGCTTACTTTATAGTAAGAATACAGTGTTTAGTACATATAACATATAAAATATTGACTGCTTTTGTTATCAGTATGACTTCCTGTCAACAGTAGACTATTAGTAATTAAGTTTTGGAGGATTCAAAAGTTATACATGGATTTTTGACTGCCCCTAACCCCTGCATTGTTCAGGATCAACTATACTCTGAAGAGTAGGGTCTCCTATGTGTGGCCCAGGGGAGGGGCCCTGCTTGCTGGGTTTAAGGGCAGCATTGCCCAAAATTACATAGCTAGTAAAGATGATAATCCACGTCTTTACCCAGAAGAACATCATTCACAAGCCAATGTTAGATTTGACTTTAAAGACAGTATAAAATCATCTCTACTATGCCTCTGTTTTGTCTTCTATCTTGGCCAGGACATTAGTAGGACCTAGATAGTCTAACCACATTTTCTTTTTCTTCTTCTTCTTCTCCTTCTCCTCCTTCTTCTTCCTCTTCTCCTTCTTCCTTGTCATCGTCATCATCATCATCATCATTATCACCATATTTTAAATTTACATTATGTTAAGGATGGACACCTTTATAAAATACAATAAAAATGTCCCAGCAATATCAAATTTCTATAAAAGGTTTTAACCATTACCTCTCGGTTTCTAGACTTTCTTTACGGGACCACACTGGTCCACCCTCCTGCTTAAAGTTGCCTTGGTCTAACCCCATGTCAGGAACTTCTCCCATTCACTTAAGACTCCTACTTGTCATGTTCCCATAATTTGCTATTGAAATAAATAATATATACATGTGCCTGGCAAAGAATTCAAAGTGACAACTCATTAGTGCTACATCCAGTTGGTGAGAGTTAGAGAAGCCATGACTTTGGCTGGAACTGTCTACATTTTCTTCATCTCTTCACCATTTAACTGAGACATTTTGGTGATTTTGGCATTTGTGGTAGAGATGATTTAGATCTATAGAGGATTGGAGGTTGATAGGTTCCTGTGATTTATATGTTTTAAAGTTTGACTTCTTATCCTCCCACAAATCTCCAGATGTGGGTGGTTAACTTCATCAACTACATATAAGAATATTTTTGTAATTTTCATTTGAGTAACTCTCCTGACTACATCTGGTTGGAGGGGTATGAAATACCGTTTATGGAAAAAGAAATTAATATTGTGATGGCTGTGTCTGCCAGATTTTACATCTCTCCATTCATGTAATCATTTATATGAAACTTCCTTTAGTGGGCAACAACTCACAGTTGAGGGAATTTGTCTATAATAAACCACTTGGCTTATATTACATCAAATTAGATCAGATCAATTTCTTCATTCTTAATTCTTTCCACATCATATCAGAATTCTCCTTAAATGAGATGCCTGTAAACAGATCTGGCTCCTTAAGGGTGATAAAAAGATATGAACATAAATGTCAAACTGTTTTTTTGGGAAAGGAGATTTTCCTTTCGTGAATGATCAGTTGAGAAATGGCAGAATGTAGAGCTACTTTTAAGGGAATATTTGAAGAGCATAAAATAATATCCAAGATATAATATTTATATTTTTTGCTAAATTAATTTATATATTTTTGAGTCTAAAATCTTGCTTGGTTCTTATCTTAGCCTTTAAGGAAAAGATGCTGCTACTTCATAGAAAGTATAGAAAACCATGTTTTATTTAGAAAAGAAACAAGAGTCTAAGTGAGCATTACAATATTGGAAGGCCTCCTGTGGGCATACCACTTTATAACACTGATTTCCTGCAAGCATATATCAGCTCACATTAATGTGCATATAGATAGGTGTGCCATCTGTTATAGTTTCAGATGCCAGAAAACATTTCTGTGGGTTTTATTGAATCATACTAACTCAGAGACTGTCTGTGATTCTCCATAAACTTGCTGACGAAATAAGTTAAGAGATTGAGTTTACCTCCTGACATATCATTTTTTTCCCTTTCAGACATTATCTGAAATCTTGAAATTTCTTATAGGATTTATTGCCTTAATTCTCATTTGGAATTTTCATTATATTTCCATTCATCTTAATGATCTTCCTTGTGTATGTGTGTTCTTTCTCTGTATAATTATCAAACAATAAAAACTAGGTGATAACTCTGGGGGTTAAATGGCTCAATCTATTTTTCTCTGGTCAGAGAAATGAATGTAATCACCTGGGTAATAATGTAAAGGCTGAGAAAGAACAGATTATTTAAATTGATTTCCACCAAGGTAAAATTGCGTGGTGAAATATGCACAGAGTACCAAGTGACTGATTAATAATTATGATTTGTGATGTCAGATGTTGACATGCACTTGATATGTATGGTAAAAGGAGAAAGACAATGAAAGACTTGTAGCTCAGTAATGCATGAAATCCTTAGACTAGCAGACTTGTCAAGACATATTAAATATTAAATAGCTCTCAAATAATTTTTTTTTCCAGACAACTCAGTGATCAACTCAGGAAAAGCAGCAAACATGAAAATTCTGTGGTTTAAGTTATATTACCCATCCTTGGAGGACCATTCGTATGTTTTGTATCATAGCTACCAGTCACAGGAAAATCAACAAGAAAAGAAAACCTGTAGTATGTGTGAACCAAGTGAAATTTTAAGCACAGATATTTTTCTTTTTTTAAAAACGAGGTGAATATGTTAATGTTGATATTCATGCACAGAAATGAGTCAGCTGATATTTTTTTAAATCCTTTTTTGCTTTGTTTTGCTCTGTTCATAAAGTCACTGACCAGGCACTCAAGAGGAAAAGTACTAAGACCCTAAATATCTATAAAGGCAGTCTTTATTTATTCCATGTAGAAGGCCCTGAGTCTGATAGAATATGTAGCATATGGTAGGCATTCAGTTAATATATGGTAAGAATGATGGATTTAGGGCCAAATATATTTTGAGAGCTGGAGCTTTATTAAGTACTTATTTCAGGCAAGTTGCTAAACATTCCACATAGATTTTTAAAAGTTCAGTGTTAGACTAGCCTTATGAGATAAGTATTATTATCCTTCTTTGAGACATTTTTTTTGTGGAAAAAACACAAAAAAAGAAACTGAGAGGGCGCCTGGGTGGCTCAGTTGGTTAAGCGATTGCCTTCGGCTCAGGTCATGATCCTGGAGTCCCAGGATCGAGTCCCACATCGGGCTCCCTGCTCAGCACGGAGTCTGCTTCTCCCTCTGACCCTCTTCCCTCTTGTGCTCTCTATCTCTCATTCTCTCTCTCTCTCAAATAAATAAATACAATCTTTAAAAAAAAAAGAAACTAAGAGTTAGTGGTATTGGACACCATTGCAGGTCTCAAGTGGAATCCATGAGCCCTGGTTTGAACCAAGGCACTCTTACACTAGAGCTCACTCTCTTTAGCGACCCTTCAATTATTATTCCTTGCTACCTAATGTTCCAGAGAAATGGTAATAGCATTAAGAGGTAATTTAAAGGAAGGACTGACTTCAAGAAAGAGGACTACCAAAGAAAACACACATTTGTGGAACATTTTTCTATGGCAGCAGAAAGGTTTAATTTCACAGAAGATGGCTTGTTAGATGCCAGTTTAATTAGCCAACCTTCTCTTGGGTCTCGATGTAATTGTTAACTTTCTCTACCATGGGAATGACCCTGAAAATTGTATTTGTCTCATGCAGCTGTCGATATACCCTAACAAAATACGTGTAGCTGGTAAATTGCTTCCTAAAAGTTTTATGCCATTTTCAGAGCACAGAGATGAATCGAGTATGTAAGAAGGGATGTGTAAGAAGGCAGGCAGATGGTTCCATTTAGCCATAACCCAAGTGAGATGTACAATATCAAAATGTATTAAGTGGATGTGCTAAGACCAATTCTCTCTCACAGTCTTTCTCTTCTCTTTATGAAACTGAGTGTGACTAGTTCTTAGCTGCCTACAAGAGAACAAGGAAATTCTAGTCTAGAGCCATGATTTCTCATGGTGCTCATTTCAAGATGCAGCAGAGGTTCACTTGTTGTCTGCCTGGAGCAGGGAGTAGATTCTCCATATGTGTAACTGGCCTTCCTTGCTGTTCCCCACACAGTCTTCAGCAGAAGTGTTATATGACTCCCAGAAGTTAAGGACCATGTTTGTCAGACAGCAGGTGTATACCTTACATTATTTCTTATAGTAAAAATTATTTCTTGTAGGTTAAAATATTTAGAGCCACTATACAAATGACTATAGAATAATGCTGCATGTTTCCGGGAAAAGTTTGGAAAAGGAAATATCAGAATTCTTAAATTTTAGTTCATTTCTAGCCATTGTCAAGCAGAAATCCAGCTCTTTATTTTAGAATACCTCAATAAATATCCCTAAATTTTTATGACGTTTCTGTTTTTATAGTCTAGGAATAATCTAGCATATATGACATTCACTACAATTCTTTTGATTTTTTTTCCACCCAATTTATATATTTTGTTATATTTTACTCTGAACCATTAATGCTCTCTAAATTGTAGGAATACTGTCTTTATCTTGCCCTCACCCTGTTATTTTTATTATTGCAGTTCACAAATTAGTTGTATAATGTGTTGACAGTTTAATTATTATTATTGTGCCTTAAACGTTGGATTAAACCCAAAAGATCAGAATATTCTTTTTTAAAAAATATCATTCTGAGGTTCTTGTTATCTTGTTTGCTCTGGCACAGTGTGCAGAGATGCAGAACCATGCTAACTAGAATAGGATCAAAATCAGCCATGTCTGCAGAACAATTTTAACTTTTGTGATATTTATGTTTTATTTATTAATTTTATGCTGTAATAACATCTGAAATTTTCTTTAGGAAACAGAAAAAAAAACCCTTATCTCTTTATCTTAAGCAGTAACTGCCTTCCAAACCTATTTTTTTGATCAAATTTGTAGCATAGGTGTCAAACTTAATTTTTACTTCAACACTCCAGTGTTTCGTATGTTAGAGGTAACCTCCACGCACTAGAAGCTATTTACTTCGGTGACTTCTTCTCTTTCTGACGAGCATCTATCTCTTTACCACTTAGTGCCCACTGGTGAATTTTGCTTGGTTTTGGAAGAACTGAGAAAACTAATTATCTCAGCCTTGCACATTTCCCCAATCAAGGATCAGTAATGTGCTTTAATCGTGGTGTCATGTAAGGCCCATGCTGCTTCTTGCTTTGAGCTGAATTGCTGCAACTGTCTATCTTACTTTGACTATTCTTGAAAATGTATCCACATCTGTCTGTTTTTATTGCCTACTTCATGGACGTAAACTGCACATTGGTGACAGGGTAGTATGATGAAGGAAACATTAAAATTTTGTGTCAGAAAAAAAAATTGGTGTCAGAACGTCTGACTTCAGTGTTGACTCTATCGGTTATTAGATGCCCATTTGAGGTTGGGCACATTGCTGATCCTCTCTGAGCTCCATCAACTTCAATGATAAAATGTGGTTTATTAAAGTAATAATTTTAAGGATGTTTATATCATATATTTTATGTTGTGTAATACATTATATAGTTACATATGATTATATGTAAATATAATTTTAATTATGTATCATGAATTAAGTATTGCATATTACACATTATATGTTTTATATATTTTATGTGTGATATATATTTTATTATATAGATCTTGTTTATCCTTTAGTTTCATTCAGAGTTGAGGTGCTTGATCCTACGTGAGTCAGGGTATTCACTCCTTTGTTTTTTTGTTTTATAGTCTCTGAAATCATTCCTCTTTTGTTATTAAAGCAAGGATAAGGGGCCTCAAAAATCCCTTGTTTGATTAGTCACTGACCCTGACCTACCAGTTGATCTTAGAGAAAATATCCATATCCCCAAAACTAGTAGTTTCCCCAGACCACCTAGGAGATTTTCACTTTAGATTCAAAATATCCCAAGAACAGGCTCTGTACATTGTGTTCAATATTCCTGGTGATATAGGTCTGAATGTCATATTGATACCCTGGTAGCCCCAGAAAGGCAAAATTAATTATATCTGGCTCATCAGCAAAGGCTCCATATTATACTTAGCTCTGTTAGGTATGTAGGATTATGTCAGTCATAGCTGGGGTGAAAGTAGGAAATGGTGAAAAGTCCATTGCAATAAGACATAAAATTCTGTGTTGAGCAAAAAATAAATTATCTGGGGAGGCATCTGATTCTTTTGATTTTGAAAGCTCAATATTATGATGATATTTTAAGTTTTATTATGTCACCCAAAAAAGATAATATTTTTATAAATGAATATAAATATTAGCAAAGATTATACTGAAATACTAAAAATGGGAAGGTACTCACTATACAATTGAACATAAAATTTCTTGAAAATATAGTTATAAAATACTTTGAGTTGGTTAGTAGTAAGGGAAATTTTAGACATATCACCAGCCTAATAAACTATCTTATATTTAGTTCCTCTGTGCTTCCTACAATGCTTAAGATGAATATTTTTTATCTAGATGTAACCATTTTGACCTCTGTTCCCCTCCCCCACAACAAACACGCTGCCTTTGATGTTAAAATAGCATATGTACTCACTTGCACTCAACAACTGGGCCACTGAGTTTCATTGGTTGAGAAGTCTGACATGAAACAAGTGGGTTTTAAATTTTACTGACATCATGTAAAGGGAAATCATCTTTATCCATTTCATGATTAGCAAAAATTCAAGGAAACTGTGAATTGCTTGGAAGGAAGCAAGGAGTATTGATTGAAGAAAAGAGACTTGAGTTAAGAGGACAAGTTAGATGTTCATTGAAATAATTCAAGTAAAGGCTGTTGAAGGACTGAACTAGGGTAATGAGGACCAAAGAGGCATTTTCGATGCAGAATGTATAGGATTTGAGAACAGATTTTTAGGGATTGAAGAGTTAGAGAAGTTCAGGAAAACTCTGAAGTGTCTGGCTTGGGTGACTGGCTAATGGTAATGCTGTTAACTTAGGTAGGGAAAAAAGAATAAGCTGAAACCATCTGTTGAAAAATGAAGTGTATAATGGTGAATTTAGGGACTGAGGAAAGTGGCAAAGATTTGGAATAGCCTCTCTGGTAAAATAAATGGTAGTAAAAAAGGTGTATAAAAATCATATTTAGCCTCAATGAGGTCACAGCTAAGGCTGGAATACACAGATTGATATTGACATTCAAGTTTTCAAATGCCTCCCTGTTGGCTATAACAGCAATTTTCAATATTTTCCCATCCTGAAACCCAAGAGGGGCAATATTCAAATCCTAAATATAATCTAATGAAGCTTTGGCATAGACAAAACTGGCTTTATAAATGTAAAATTGCCCATTAACTAGATATAATTCCACCACTTTGTTTCTAAGTGTCTAAGTGAATGAGTGTGATATTTTAACAGTGATAACTTTATATGAGCTCTATTTTATTTTTTAGTAATTTTACTTCAGTTTTGATAGTTATAACCATTATTTGAGTAAATTACTTGTAATATGCCTCTCAACTAATCTTAACACTGAAATTTAGAACTAGTCTATATAAGATAATTGGCAAATTTTTTGGTTTAGCAAATGAGGTTCTCCACAGTTAGACCTTATCTCAGATTTTATTTTCCAGGGT